TCTTAGTCGGCAGCGTAACCGGCATCCTCAGTTAGTCTTGCCTTTTTCATAACTAAGCTACAAACTCGTCAGATAGACATGTGAATTAAATCCCTCGACCAACGTTCTGCAGATAGATGGTTACCCTATCACTCCTCTTTCTGTCCTGGTCCATCTATCTACTGCTTACCCTCTTATCCAACTGTGACCATACCGATGGCCACACCATCTTGGTCTTCATATCTTGCGTTGTTTTGTTTGTAGCTAATATCATTCCATACTCCACTTGCTTTTTGTTTTCAGCCAATCAATTTGTGCCAGACCGGATTCAAAGAAATATGGCCAGGAAACGTGGCCTGTAGAACTCAATATGGCAACAAGTGCATATCAGATCCTCACTCTCCCAGATACGCATGTGAATGCACAGGTCGACACTTTCCTATACCCTATAAGCAGGGATCAATGAAGGGACTGGATAATTGTTTGGGCAGCACAACACTGTGTGATGAGCTCAAGTGTCTGCACGGCGTTTGCAGAATGGCAAGTTTGGAAATTTTTGTGAAATATTTGTATGCACAATGAAATAGCGGAATACTGTTCAACAGTAATAATAATAGTAATATGAGATGTATTCACCCAATTTCGTTTAAGGTGATGAAAGACTGGTAGAAGAATTTTCCCACAATTATATGAGTAGAGCTGACGTTTCCATTGAAGTTCACATAGCCTTGCTTTTCCAAAAGTTGTTCTTATCCAGAGTGGACTACAGTTTCGACCTCGCATCGGTCTTATCAACACCCCCAGCGGGAGTCGAACCGTGAATACATCTCATATTACTAATTTACTGGTATTCTCGAAACAATACTATAAGGGGAAAAATAAATTAACGTATTCGATTGTTATAGCAAATATACGTTTGTTTCATAGACAATCCCACCAAAGAATATGATATGACATAAGGCCTGGCCTTCCTTAAAATTCACATTTGCTATGTGACCCAAGGGCACTCGTGGTAATGTGGCCAAGTGGCTAGCGTGTCAAACTCCCATTCTGCACTGTCACGGTTCGACTCCCGCTGGGGGTTTTGATAAGACCGATGCGAGGTCGAAATTGCAGTCCACCCTGAATGAGATCAACTTTTGAGAAAGCAAGGACATGTGAACTTCAATGGAAACGTCAGCTCTACTCATATCATTGTGGAAAAATTCTTCTACCAGTCCTGCATATTATTGATTTGCTGGTAGTCTCGAAACAATACTTGAATACGAAAAATAATAATAGTAGTTTAGTAGTGACATAATAGATGAAGTACTAAGGTAGTATTAGTAATAGTAATATTGGTAGTAGTAATAATAATAATAGTAGTAGTTTTATTCCAGAGTTTATCCTATAGCTACTTATAGTTTCTAGGCCTACTTACTATGAATATTATGATCATAATATAAGTAGTCATATTTGGTCCTCGAAGGACCCAGCGAAAAGGCGAATGGCACACTCAGCTATATGATGATTATGATTCCTTTCATGCCCAAGTGATTCCATTTTTTTACATCACCTAAGCCTATACTTTCCTATACGGCAAATGTAGAGTTAACATTTAATATGTATAAAGGCAGTCAAAATGCACATAATAAAAGCAACTCGACAGTAAATCATCTTTTCCCTCTGGCTCCGTGCAGGCTCCAGCAAGAAGTTATCTTCTGACTGGCGGACTTTGGAATCTGCGGTCCTCGCACTCTCGTATTTCGCTGCAAGCCATGTGCATATGCAATCCCGGTTGGACGGGAAAAGACTGTGGTAGCCAAATTACTCTAAACGGTTGGTCTCCTTGGACTGCCTGGAGCCTCTGTGATCCGCCCTGCCAGTCAACGCATAGCTTTGCGTGTGAAGATAGCTCGCCGTCAGAAGAAGCTATACTGCCCATTGCCTCGCTGCCGGGCAAGCGAGAACGAGTCGAGAAAACTACAGAGCAAAGCTACTTCAGTCCGATCCACTTCAACCGTCCGATTAGGATTCCAGGCTTGCGATACAGGCAGCGAAAGCGCTTCTGCTTCGACTCAGCGAGTGACTGTTGGAGGCCGGAAAGGCTGGAGACCAGTTGGTACAATAGGTCTGTTTTTGTGGAGACTGAGCAACGCATTTGTCGGCCACGACCCTGCGATCGCTACCTGAGGGTCAGTCATGCAGGCTCAGGACAGAAGAGACGGGCGACTAAATCGGCCTCAATTGAGGTATGATGGGAAACACATAAAGAGAAGCTGCGCTTAGAATTACCCATCAAGAGAATTTCATTTTGATAGAAGTAGGTTGAACTCGTTGTCGCAACTTGGTCTTGTTTTCAGGGAGACCATGTAGAACGCACCTAGTCCGAAGTCATCTGCC